TTTGGTGGAACTCAGGGCCTTCCTGGCAAGCGCTTATTCTACTGTACCATTTCCCTGGCCCGCCTGTCATTTCAAATTAACAGATTAAATTAATTCATATAATCATTTCAATAGATCAAAAGTTTATTTTATTCTCCAGGGAACACTTAACAATCCCAGAAGACATATTTGGTTGTCACAGTTGGGGATGTTTGTTCTACTGGCATCTCCAGGTAGAAATCAGAAACCTTGTTACACACCTTACAATGCACAGGAAACCCTCCCTGAGAGCCACTTTATATATTGTACTTTTCCAATCTGTAAATTGGAATAAAAATTTAACATAAAAGAGATAGGAACTTTCTAAAGGTACTATTTTCTACAGTGGCTGATGTACAGATCTATATTCCTACCATTTGCTTTTCCAATCTGTTGATATGTATATGATATTTGCATGTTGCTTTAAGATATATACACCTACTTTGCTTTTTCCTGCTGCATAATTGCACACAATAAATGTCCGCATGTGGTTCTTATCCATTTCCCTGGTGATAAATTCCTAAATGTCTTCTAACTGTACTCTACTACATATAACACTATCATGCAGACAACAGCCTTGTACATACTTACTCTGGACCTCTGTATGAATTTCTATGGGATGTAATTTTAGGAATGAAACCACATAGTCATATACATGCTTAATTTTTAAAAATAATGCTCAAGTAGTTTCTGGAATGACTGAATCAGTTAGCATATGGTATGACTCCCAAAAGACTTATATCAGAGCTAAGAATGCTATCTTTTGAAAAGTCTACTTGAAGGATTTGGCATCTTGGAGCTTGGATCTTGAGAAGCTTCCCTAGTCCCCAGTAATACTCGTTAGCTCTGCCTAGTTCATCTGTGCAAACGATGTTGAACATCCATTTTTCTTCAAAGAGGCTGGAAGTTTGGTATATACTAGGCACCACCTGAAACACCTTGAACATAGAGCTTCTAATGAATTTTCTTGGCAGGAAACATTTTACACATTGTCACAACTCATTACTGTGGAAAATAAGGACATTTTGTATGACTCCACTGGAGGACTCTCAGAACTCTATGCCTGGTTTCCGCTAGACATTGTCACATGTATTTAGTACTTTTGTTAATTTTTCTTTGAGTTCTGTCTTAGAAACTTTTCTTGCTGCTGAGACAAAATACCCAACATTCACAAGTTAAAGGAGGAAAGGATTGTATCAGCTCACAGTGTAGAAGTTTCAAACCATAATCTACTGGCTCCAAGACAGATTGGCACAACCAAGTGGCATCACAGTGGAGAAATATTTCAGAGGTGAGCAGACAGGGAAGCAGCAAGCAGTGAAGCAGCAGCAAAAGCAGCAGTTGCACAACAGAAGCAGCAGCCTGTCTTCTACCTCTCTCTTTACATTCCATCCAGACTACAAGCCTATTGATTCAAACCACCCACACCTAGAGTAGGCTTCTTTTATCCATACTTTTAATCTCAGAAATACATCCTTAATCCTCATTAATACACCCTTAATGTAGCTACCTACAAAACTCCCCACCTTGACTGCCTGTGGCTTTGGGTGGATATTTACATACAAGCCATAATAAGTCTTCACTACAACATATCATAGCTATGAGTAAACTGATACTCCTAGCAGCTTAATGAACACAAGGGTGATCTCAGGAACTGCTTTGACACACATTATCATAAGCAAAGCAAGAAAATTTCCAACAAAATTTATTTATAACTGGACACTTAAGTACCACTTCAGTATTCATCATGGGCTTACATTACATCTTTGAAAATACTTCACAAACATGGAGAGGAAGGTTGTTAGAAAAACTAGGTGACCTGTGAATGAGACTCAAAATATGTTACAGAATCACAGATGTTATTCGCTGAAAATTCTTCATAATCTACATGAGATAATTAAAGCCAAAGAAGGTAACAGACTTGTTCAAAGACAGACAGATAGTCATCACAGACACAGGGCTCCAAATCTGTACTATTCTATTTCCTAGTGTTCCTTCCTCTAAGTCCCCAGCTTCATTTCTTATATTACTCACGTCACTTACCTAAGCGCTATTCTTTCAACGCCTTTCAGGAGCCTATTTTCTTGTTAACTGTGGTTCCTCTTATTTCTCAAATTTCCCTAATCAGTGTACATGTTATAGTCCTACCAAAACACTGGGTCTTATGAAAATAGAACTCAACAGAAAAAGAAAATAGAAATGAAAAAAAAAATCCTAGTGAAAACTACTAGAAGGACAGGGAGAGGGGAGTGAAACAATAAAGAGAGAGAATCCTAAATCTAACCATAGCACCTTCCTGAGTCCTCAGAACTTAGTAAAGACTGTCAAAATCAGGGCCAAAGAAAAACAAAGCATCATATTGTAGCCAGACATGTCACATATTCCTTCTGTTTCTTCCTACTATCTCTCAAAAACCTCAAAAAAGAGGTAAGGCACTTACATGTTCTAGGAAGCAGGGTCCTATCTCGCTAAGGTGGGGATCATCATTGTTGTACTGTTTCTCCAGGTCTCTCACGAAGCCCATCTGAAACCTGTAGATATCTTCAATGTTTCCAAAGATTACCTTCAGTTGCTCATCACTGAACATGTCCCTTCTCTTCCGGCACTGTTTCAGGTACCCCTGCAAACAAAGGAAAAGTCTTGGATGAAGATGACTCCAACTCCCAAGGGGCTATATTGCTACCTAACCATTTGGGAAGCTCATTTAAATTCCATGAAGTGTACAGCAAATAATCATTTTCACTTGTCATGTGAGGAAACTGAGTTTTAAAGAAATTCACTGTACTAGTAGATGTTTAGAAAGACTGGATCTCCAGCAGAGTTCTTAAGAGTATAAAAACTCCACAAAGATGAACACAGTAGCACGTATCGCTGTTTCCAACACTCTAGGAGGCTGAGAAAGGAAGATCAGAATTTGAAGCCTAGCATGGACAACTTAACAAGACTCTGTCTCAAAATTAAAAAATGGTTGTGAGTGTAGATCAGTTAAAACAACAGAGAGAGAGAGAGAGAGAGAGAGAGAGAGAGAGAGAGAGAGAGAGAGATTCCATAGCGTAGGCTTTTTCCCATTATTCCTTATGATTATAACCAGACCCTCAAAAATCAAAGGAATCCTTCACAGAAGTAGTTTGGGCACAAACATTTTCATTATAATATATATTATTTAATTGGCTGCATCTATTTACATCTTAGAAATTCTAACCTTATAAAATAAGTCCCAAAATCTTCATAATATTGACAGTAATCTGGCAGTAGTGGCAGAAAAGATCATTTGGATAAGATCAGCCAGCAATCTCATAAATACCTTGATATGTTATGTCTAAAAGTGTTTATGACACATTTGTGAATAAAGGGTTGCATTAATATATCTAGTCACAGGTAACAGAAGAAAGGTAATCAAGAAATTCTTGGTCTGAAAAGGTAAAACTCAGGTAATGTGAACAGACACGAGGCACACTGCAAGTCTAGGGGAAAAAATCCATAACTAAAACAGTCTTTCATTTTGTGCTCACTGGTGTGGATTTTTTAACTAGTGATTACTATCCTCATTTGAAATCACTGATACATAAACATTTTCTTAGTGAAAATATGGTCACTTGTTTTCACTTAAAAGTTTGGCACAATATTCCTAATATGTTTTTTAAGCATTCAAGACTCCTATATAGCTGGTTTACCACATTGGGACCTGCCTGTAACCTCACTTTCTCTCCTCACATAGCAGACAATGAGGCTACTTTTTCTGTGCTGTTTTTTATTGCTTTAATTTTTTATTAGTATCTAAAGGAAATACAAAATAGTTAAAAAAAGCATGAGTAATGATACAAAACTTCACCAAAAAAAAGCAATGGGAAGTCAACAATGGTTGCTATATTGCATAATGTTGTCTTCAAATTAGTTGTTCAGATTACCAGATATAAGCATGCAAGATTGGAAAAAGAAATGAAAAAAGTTATAAGAAATTTTAAAAAACAAGAGAAGACACAAAACAAGAAAAAATTAAGCCATGACTGCTCCCCTCCATAGACCTACAGAAGTGTTAGTACAATTGTCCAAGCCATCCTGCATGTATGCATAAAATCTTTATCCCTCTTCCTTCTCTCTCCTGTGCTTCCCCTCATCCCAGTTTTTCCTTCATTTTTGAACAGATTCTTTCCCTTTCATAGTATCTATTGTACCTTTCAGATTTTATTTCCTCTTTCAGGTTCTTACACAAGCAAATTAATACAATATTTGCATATGTGGGGGCCAGGGAGATAGCTCAGTAGAATAAGTGCTTCCCTGGCAAGTGCAAGGGCCTGAGTTCAATCCCTGGTTCCGCAAAAATAAATAAATAAATAAAAAATAAAAATATTTGCATATGTGAGTCTAATTTATTTCACTTATGAGTATGGTCTCTTTTTTTTAATTTTTTTTTATTTATTTGAGAGAGAGAGAGAGAGAGAGAGAGAGAGAGAGAGAGAGGTGTGTGGCCAGCTCAGCCCACCAGGGGGCGGGGCTGGCTGGCATGTGGTGCTGGGGGATTGAACCGCAGTCCCTGATGCTTTGCTAAGCTTGTTCTAAGTAGGTGCTTTAGACCACTGAGCCATCTCACCAGCCCATGAGTATGGTCTCTAGTTGCATCCATTTACCTATAAAAGCCTCAAGTTCATCTTTTTCATAGTTGAATAATATTTCATTGTGTAAAATTACCACAATTCCTTTATCCATTCCTCAGTTGATGGGCACCTGAGTTGTTTGCAGCATTTAGTTATGACAAAAATTGCACTGCTATAAACATGGGTACACATATATCACTGTGGTATGATGTTTTCAGTTCTTTGGGGAAAATATCTAGGAGGAAAACAGTCGGGTTAAATGGGACCTTCAATTCTAGTTTTTTGAGGAGTCTCCACACTGTTTTCTATAGTGGTTATACCAGTATACACTCACACCAACAGTAGAGAAGGGTCCCTTTATCACCACAGCCCCTCCACAATTTGGTTTTGGTTGACTTCTTGATGTTAACCATTCTTTTTTGGGTGAAATGAAATCTCAGTGTTGTTTTATGAATTTTCTTTAATGTATCTAGCACAAGGTCTACAAGGTCTCACTATGTAGATTGGACTCGTAGTGATTCTCATGTTTTCAGCCTCCCAAGTGCTAGGATTACAGGCATGCACCACCATGCCCATTCTCAATCTCGGTCTCTGCACACCCCAAGGGTGGGTCGGACACCACACACTGGGCATCAAACCCCTGCCACAGCACTCTGCCTAAACAGGCACTTTAGAGTGCTGAGCTATCTGGCCGGCCCTTCTCAGTGTTTTTTTCATTTGCATTTCTTGAATGACCAGTGCTGTGAAACATGTTTTCATGTATTTATTTGCTATCTGTGTTTCTCCCTCTGCGAAGTGTGTGTTTATCTCAGACATATATTTTTTGATTGGGTCTCTGAATTTTGAGGGCCTCACATTTTTATCTTTATATGTAGTGAGGCTGTTGAGACATATATCAGAAATATTGTCATCCCTGGCTTTCTCTTTACCAACCTTGACCAAAGAGTCATTTCCATAACTCTTCTTATTTCTCAGTTCAACTATTACTCAGTAGGTGACCTTCAACAGTTTGCAAATTTAAGTCATGGCTATTGCCGTCATTAACATGTTCAAGATTTTTGTATGTTTTTCATATCAAATTCTTAAATAGAAAGATGCCCTCTAATTCCCAAATTAATCTTTTGACTTCTTTCCCTTTCCTAAAGTATCACCCAAAATGCTGTTTCCCTAGAAAACCTTCCCTCATGAATAGAAAGGCAATGAACAACTGTTGCCTCCTTCCTTACCTCAATGTTAATTGCAATTTAATCTGACTTAATGCATTCCTGTGTACCTCCCTATGTCTGTGTCTCTTTCTCACTTTCTCCCTTTGGAAATACCTCATCTACAATCTTGCAAGGAGAGCACTGAACATATCATCACAAAATTCAGCAGGGTGGGAAAGGCTCCCCCATCCCTTCTGTTACTTTTTCTCTGTAAGGTAGTCCCTGGTGTACAACTGGGAGAAAAAATGTAAATAATGTTACACTTAGCATGCTACTTCTGGGTCCACTGTAGTTACTAGTGAGTAATCAAGCTTAGAAACAGAAAATCTCAGCATGGACTGCTGGTTTATTTCCTGAGAAGTCAGTTCAGGTGGGACTTAATAGTTTTTTTTTTTCACTTCATCCATTTGAAAGATTTAGTGAAATGCAATGAGGATACTGCAGTTCAACATCATCAGTATGGATTTGGTGGGCTTTTTCATTTGTTGGTTTGTTTGTTTGTTTGTTTGTTTTGCAGAACTGGGGATTGAACTCAGGCTCTTGCACTTGCCAGGCAATCACTTACCTACTGAGCCATCTCTCCAGCCCCTAAATAGCAGAAGGATTTTTTTTTTTGAGGCCTGAAGATGCCTTGAGGGCATTTCTGGTTTCCTGTGAGAAACTGGGTTCAAACCAGAGCATCTTGAGCCTGACTGCTTTGTTTAAGTAGGAACTTAAACAACTGAGCTAATGGGCCAGCCCCCATCAGTATGGAGTATAACAAAAATTTAAAAGAAACTGGTCTCTGGAAAAAAGAATAAAGAGAGACATCAGTACAGGTCCTAATTTCCTAACTAACACATTCACTCCATTATCAAGAACATTTTTTCTTTCTACTAAATTATACAGGTTGGGTTAAAACTACATATTAGGAAGACTGGGATTGCCCAAAGAATGAGATGCTACAACAGGGAACTTTTTAGAGACTGAGTGCTCAAAGTGCAATACAAAACCCACTTAACCAAATAATGCAAAGTGCCCAAGCTGCAGTTTGTTATGGTTTGTGTCTCGTTGTCCCCCCAAAGCCTCATGTAGTCATGGGGTGAGGACTTCTAGA